TTCGTCTGACACTGAGTGTATATATGTCTGTCAGTGAGTGTGTATATGTCTGTCAGTGAGTGTATATGTGTGTCTGTCAGTGAAAGTGTATGTGTGTAACTGTAAATGAGTGATGCATTTATGTCTGTGAATGTGTATGTTTCATTGAAAGTGTGTGTTGGTTAAACAGTTGGTTAAACAGTGTGTGTGACAATGACTGTGTATCTGTAAGTGAGTTTATGTCAGTGCATGCATCAGTGAGGGCGTGTGTCTGTCAGGAAGAGAAATTTGGAGGGGGGGGAGGTGCTTGAGTTTTGTCATGCCTAGGGCAGCACAAAACCAGAATACACCACTCTCCCTATACATATTTAAATAACTTGAGTTTTTTGTATCACTCCAATGGCCATTAAATTGTAAGCTCACCTGCCATTTCAAGGCAAGCCTCCTAGGTGAGTCATACATTAACAAATTACCTTGCTGTTTTAAGCTAAAAATTTAAATCTCTAACAAGACAGAAAGGGGTTTTTATCTGAACCTTTGCTGCCTCCTAGTAGTAGTAGTAGTTTGAGCGCAAGGCTAAATGTTGTATTACACAGCCTTGTTACACTGCTGCTGCTTACCCCATGTTTACCAGATTAAGTGTGTTTGCTGTATTAGGATTTGTGTATTCAGGATCAGTAAATAAATAGTATGTAGCAGCAAAACCACAAAGTGTGTATAAGCCCACACCTCTAGAAAGAAATTGTACAAAATAAATAACTTATCGCAGTAATATGACAGCTTCCTCTCGGGACGTTCCAGACCTTATCCCGTATAGATAGAATGTATATATAGATAGCAGATGAGTATAGCTGATAATCTACAGAAAGAAAAACAATACAATAGTATAATACTGTAAATGAGCGATAAAACTGCGCCAATATCAATATAACTCCCAAGATGTAGATGGTAAGATCGCCTTAGGGTGCCTCCCCATCGATGTATATCCAGAACCCCCTCCTAGCTGGTTGCTGTAGTAACCACAATATGGAAGTCCGGACTCAGGAGTGATAAAAAAAATCTGCTTTATTGCATGAGAATAAAGAATAAAAAACAAATATGGTCCTATATGTTTCGTCTAACAAAAGACTTCCTCAGGGACCCAACAATAAAAAACAAGTTTGTATATATAAATAACAAATTTGTATATATAAAATATCCTAACAGAAGGACAAAATAGCTGCTATTTTGTCCTTTTGTTAGGATATTTTATATATACAATATCACAGTTTAGGAAAATCACATTTGGAATTCATATAATATTCTGGGGGGGGTTTAGCAGCAGGAGACAAATGTCATGAAAATATGAGACTGTACATGAAGGTGACACACTTTGAATTATTAAATTACAATTGGTTTTACAGCACCGCAGGGATATTCAGCAATAGTCTGATCACCCAAGTCAACACTGCGGGTTTGTGTTGCACTCCAGAACAGGAGGTCAAGTCAGGATTGACCACTATGCATTAATAGGAAATAAAAAATGGTTGGGGAGATAGAGATCTATTCAAACTTTTTGAATGCAAAAGAATTCACTCAGAGGGTACTGGTGAATAAGGAATTATATTGCTGTTCTCCATGGGAAAGTTTTGCAAAGCACAAAGACTGGCCCTGCCCACAGACAAGTGTGCTGAAAGTGCTTCACATTAGTCTGTGAGATCTGGCACCTGAATGCAAAAGACGGGCAAAGTGAGGGGAGAGGGGGAGTGAGGTAGGGCCTTCCTTGGTGCTCATCAAAGGGAATCTCACGGGATCAAAGGCTTTTAAGGAACATATCTGTGGGAATGTAACGTCCCTAAAGAATTCCAAGTTGGCTATTGGTTTATGAAGCTAAATTAGTAGAAGGAATGTATCCGAAGTGTCAGTTTACCAGTTTGTGGTTCCTGTCGGGTTATTTTACTGCCAATCTGCTTTTATATTAGCTTATTCAATTTAAATATAAAACTATTTATGAAGTAGAGATGCTTCTTGCTACAAGTTGTATTTTGTTATGGTTACTGATTTATCGGGGCTATTCACCAAAGTGAGAATTCAAGGTGACTTCAGAGAGAATTTCAAATTTAAGGTTAAAATAAACAAACAGTAAATATTATCTAAATTAGCTATGCTTTCAGTTTGGCCTCCCTGGCCTTACATTTTGCATTTATTTAGAATTCTCCCTATACACTATACACTAGGTGAATATTCCCTGCAAGGTAGCTCTGGGTTTATATGGAGTCCTGCAATGTATAGTTTACATAACCAGCATTCCATCTTGGAATGTCTACAGACTTAACATTCCACTGCTAGCTCATATCATAAGCATCAAAACAGGTGCACCCAACTAACTATTGTAGGATCTGAAGAGACCGGATTAAGAGTCCATTGGGCCTGGTGCTGACAATTACGATGAGCCTAATTACAGAATCTTATCGACAGAAAACACTAAAACATTTATACCTCCAAAGCGACATGTAGTGCTGGAACTTAGGGGAACTGCATTGGTTAATGATGGAACTTAGGGGGAACTGTCATAGGCGATTTTTAATGTTTTATTAGTGGTGCAATTTCCAGAGAAATTACAATTTTCCTTCAATGGGAATGATGTGTTACACTTATGATTATGAGTAAGAATAAGGAATTAATTATGTAAACTAGGCTTTACTGTTACAGAAGATGTTGGGAGTCAGTTTTAAGGGATCGTCATTACAGGACTGAAACATTGATCCATTGTATTTTGATCGGCTTCAATGAAGCAGTAATCTTTCAGCAAACCGATACTTTTAATCTTCTACTTTTTTTTACATTTGTTAATTTGACCATCGTTTAACACCATGGCAAGTTACAGCGCTCTGTAGCTATTGAGTGCAGAGTGTTACGCACGCACATGCGCACACACACACACACACACACACACACACATATTCTAAATTACACAAACTCCTTTACATGCCCATTAATTCAGTTAAATATCATATTACACATATGTCCAGGTATGTAGCAATTATTATGTATGTACACACAGCATTAGCTATGTATACACACCCATTAGATATACAGTATATATTATTAATGTATATACACCTAGCATTGGCTGCACAGCATATATTAATGAATCATGTATGTACACTCAACATTAGATATCCCCTACATTATACACTCATAGACATACACCAGCCAGTATTAGCTGTATAGCTTCTTGTTCATGTACAGACCAAACATAGTATCCTATATAAACACACACTTACACCCCCCCAGCATTAATTATATAGCATTGGACACACAAACACAGTCCCAGCATTAGTTATATAGTATAGGACACACTCCCAGCATTAATTATACTTCATAGGACACACTCCCACACTCCCAGCATTAGTTAGATAGCATAGGACACACATACACACTCCCAGCATTAGTTATATAGCACATGACACACATACACACTCCCAACATTAGTTATAAAGCATAGGACACACATACACACTCCCAACATTAGTTACATAGCACAGGACACACATACACACTCCCAAAATTAGTTATATAGCATAGGACACACATACACACTCCCAACATTAGTTATATAGCATAGGACACACATACACACTCCCAGCATTAGTTATATAGCATAGGACACACATACACACTCCCAGCATTAGTTATATAGCATAGGACACACATACACACTCCCAGCATTAGTTATATAGCATAGGACACACATACACACTCCCAGCATTAGTTATATAGCATAGGACACACATACACACTCCCAGCATTAGTTATATAGCATAGGACACACATACACACTCCCAGCATTAGTTATATAGCATAGGACACACATACACACTCCCAGCATTAGTTATATAGCATAGGACACACATACACACTCCCAGCATTAGTTATATAGCATAGGACACACATACACACTCCCAGCATTAGTTAGATAGCATAGGACACACATACACACTCCCAGCATTAGTTATATAGCACATGACACACATACACACTCCCAACATTAGTTATAAAGCATAGGACACACATACACACTCCCAACATTAGTTACATAGCACAGGACACACATACACACTCCCAAAATTAGTTATATAGCATAGGACACACATACACACTCCCAACATTAGTTATATAGCATAGGACACACATACACACTCCCAGCATTAGTTATATAGCATAGGACACACATACACACTCCCAGCATTAGTTATATAGCATAGGGCACACACACTTCCAGCATTAATTATATAGCATAGGACACACACACACACTCCCAGCATTAATTATATAGCATATGACACACTCCCAGCATTAATTATATAGCATAGGACACACACACACACTCCCAGCATTAATTATATAGCATATGACACACTCCCAGCATTAATTATATAGCATAGTACACATACACTCCCAGCATTAGTTATGTAGCACAGGACACACATACACACTTGGCACCATATAAAGCAGTAATTTACAGCACGTGTTATATAACATTGTATGAATAAATAGCCACAGACACTTTATTAGCATCCCTGCACATGTGCCTGGCCTGCCCCATTCTACGCTCGTGGTAATATTAGGTTTTATGGGTTAAAAGTCAATGTTTTGATAAGAGCAGATGTCAGAGGAAGAGCTGAGAGATCAATTGCTCTAGTTTCTATACCTGCTATTTTTCCCACGCTGATCATGGTCATACCAGCTCCATATGCTGTGCTGTCTGCTTGCACACTTCTATGGGCTGCATGATTGGTTGGACACTGTGGGAAGAGGAAAGTCAGAGCAGTGTGTTCACACTCTAGTGTACATAGAGAGGCTATAAATACAGCTTGCTGTGCATACTGTCTGCTTCATTCACTGCCTGCAGCCTACTCCACTCAGACCCTCTGTACACATCCAACAAGCCTCCAGCCTGCTCCATACATTGACACGCTGCCAGCTACAGAGTGTCTGCTACCAGGAGGGCCACACTGGACTGCTACATTGCTCTGCAAATGGCTCCATATGATAACAGATTGGATGGCTCTGAAATCAGCCTGAACAAGGACATGAGAAAGGTACAGCTTCTTAATTGGAAATATCAGCACTTAGCCGATGTTACAGTCACCTATCTCCATATTTTGTAATATTTATAAGATCACTCAATTGATTCTTTAGTACTTTCTTATCTTCTAATCATTGTTTGGGAATTTGTATCAACAGTAATTCTGGTGCAACGTTGTGCATTCAGCACGAACATTCCATTGGTTTCCATGGTGATTGGTTCACTATGTAATTGTTTAGACACCCTCATGTTGGAGACCCCACTTCTCTCTTCCCGTTTGTTCGCATCACCCTCTCTTTTTCCCCCCCTATCTATCTCTCTCTCTTTCATACCCCAATTTTTTGTGAGAAATCAATATTTTTGTTCAGTCCGTTAAAGTCTTCTATTTGTCAGGCGATATGAGCCCCCTTTTTATTAAATCAGAATTAAAAAATTGTAGTTAATCTTAACTTTATTCTAACGCAGAGGCAGAATCCTCACAGCAGCCAAACTCTCCCTTTCTGAAATCGTAACGCATGTGACTTTTGTCAAATCAAATACTTTTCTTAAAGAAGCTTTGCAGACATATGGCACACGTGCAGTTATCGCTGTGATCTGCCGATACAATGCTTCTTCTATTCGACCAGTCATCGTTCAGCGTCTTACTTTGTATGCTGTAGGTTTAAAACATCTGGGGATCTATCTTTTGGGGACCCCTGGTCTAGTAGGTATTGAAACTGAAAAAAATGTAAGCAGTGCTCATTCGCAGAAAAAAAACTGTATTAAATGATAAGGCTTCCGTGGCAGCATGTATACAACAATAACTACAGTTGTTTATATAGCTCCAACATATTCCACAGCGCTGTACAATAGGAAACAAGACAAACATTTAATTCTAACAAAACATGTTTGAACTGTAGCTGAAAAGTTTACACTAAAATCACTTACTTAAATTATTACACTGTCCCTTTAATTTAACTTAAAGGCATATTCCAAAGATATTAATTCTATGATTCCCTACAAAATATTTTCCTCCCTTACTCGTGTATGTTAAATTTGGCTCATCATTTTGTCATCATTTTATCAAGTGGCTGAAGAGAATTAAGACCACTGATTCATTATGTTGGATAAGAAATTGCTATTTAAGGCCACATTTCGTACACAATTTAATATACAGACCTCTTGTACAATGCAATGGACATGTTGGTGCTTTAAACATAAATAATAATTAAATACAAAGATTATGTGACTGTGCCATTTATAGCTGCACTGGTTAAAAGAAGAGAAATGTATTTTTCTTCATTGCAACATTTGTACGCACTGTATTTATATATTCTTGTACATACATCCTTTCTTGTTTTTTTATGAAAATTAAATTATTATATTGTATTTTTTTTTTTTTGCTAAAATTATTTGTGCACTTTCAGTGAAGAGAATTTGTTTTTATTTCCAATAAACTGCAAACCCGTAGTGAATTAATACTACACACGGATAGGATTTTATATAGTTTTTGTTTAATGTGTATGTTTTCATTTATTAGTAAATTGTAATATATAGTTATCTATATCTGGCTATTGCTATATATTCAAGGTTTGCGTAGATCAAATTTAGAGAGATGTTTCTATGTGTTTTTTTAAATAATATTAATATCAGAGTTTTAGAGAAGTAATATATTGCTCTTTTAGTTTGATTTACAATGCCCTCTACTAATATTGGCACCCTTAGTAAATATGAGCAAAGGCTGTGAAAAATTGTCTTTATTGTTTAACCTTTTGATCTTTTGTTACAAAAAATACACAAAAATGCTTTCATGGATATCAAACATTTGCAAACATAACATGTTTATTATAAAAAACAAATCTATGTTAAATATTTATGTGGCACATTTAATGGTACCCCTATAAATTCATATGAGAAAAATATATTTCAAGTATATTCCCATTGATATTTTTAAAGTTTTTAGTACACCTGAGTGGCTAGGAACAGGGGGTTGTTCAGCCATTACTTCCTGTTTCATAGGGGTATAAATATAAAGTAACACATAGGCCAAATGCTCTTAGTAATTCATCACAATGGTTAAGACCGAGGAATATACCTGTGATGTGCTGCATATTGTTGTTGAGCTTAACAACAATATGGAAACTGTAAATGTGATGAATTAACCTGGAAGAGGATGTGTGTCTATCTTGTCTTAATGCACTGCGAAGAGGATGGTTTGAGTGGCCAAAAATTTCATAAAATCACAGCTGGAGAATTGCAGAAGTTAGTTGCATCAGAAAGTCTCTAAAACTACAATTCCCTAATCACCTTAATACCAAGTTGTTTGGAGGGTTTTTTTTGTGGACATTTTGTAAGGATACACGGCATCATGGACTCTATCAGATATCAACATATATTAAACGAACATGTGGCTGCCTCTGCCAAAAAAGCGTAAAATTGGTCGTGGTTGCATCTTCCAGCAGGACAATGTTCCAAAGCATACATTAAAATGGTTTACTGACCATAAAATCAAGGTCCAGCCATAGCCATACCAGTCCCCTGACTTGAACCCCATAGAAAACCTTTGGGGTGAACTGAAGAGGAGTGTTCACTAGTGTCGACTTTGAAATTTGAAGGATCTGGAGAGATTCTGTATAGAGGAATGGTCTCATATCCTTTCCATCTATTCTCCAACCTTATCAGGCATTATATTAGAAGACTTAGAGTTGTTATCTTGGCAAAGGGGGGTAACACAAAGTATTGACTAAAAAGGGTGCTAATAAGTGTGCCATACATATATTTCTCTGTTTTTTTTAGGGTTTCTTATATAAAAATATGTTCTCGGATGAAAGGTGATAAGGAATTGCAGCAGATTGTACCGTATTTACTTGTGCTTTCTTACAATCATAATGGTTTTGTTATATCTCCACCAGCTGAGAAAGCCAGTGATTGAGAAAATGAGGAGAGATCGGATTAACAGCAGCATTGATCAGCTCAGGATGTTACTGGAGAAAGATCTTCAGAAAAATCAGCTTCCATCCAAACCAGAGAAAGCGGATATTCTGGAGATGGCCGTGTCCTTATTAAGGCAACAGATACAAAGAACAACTAAAAGTGAGAAACACCAAAAAAATATTTCCTATGCATTGAGATTGCTTTAAGGGGTTACTCCAAGAACCATGACTATTTAAGTGATTTAAAGTAGTCATGGTACCTGATGTCTGTGTGTGCAGCGTTTCACTATGAAAAGCTGCACATACAGCATTTAACCCCTCTGCTGCCGTGTAAGTCTACCTCTGGCAACATCATTATGGTGTCATCAGCCTGGAACTGGCAATTCTGTGCATATTTCTATGTGCAACGGAGCATTTCTTGGTGTGGCCAACTGAAACTTCGGCCAATGAATGAGCGGCAGGATTGGTATCCGGCTTCTGCAACTCTGCAGAAACCTGAACTTGTCAACAGAGGAGAGGTGGTGCCCGGTGAGACCCATGGAAGAGAGCAAACTATTATATAACTGTTTGCCCGATTAATGGGGAATGGTGCCAGGTTACTCTTAACACCATAATCATCACAGTGGGCTCTAGTGGTTATCATGGTTGGAGTAACCCTTCAATGAGTTACCCTATATAGTGTTATTATTTGAAAAACTATTATTACAGTTTTGTAACTAAAATTAAAAATGTTAAGTATTGGAATATACCATAATTGGTGTTTTGTTTAATTTTACAGCTGTGACATCAGCTAAACAAGATTTTGCACCGCTGCTTGAAGTCACAGAGTTTATCCCACTAAGAAAAGAGACAGAGACACAGATGGATCTTAAAAGTGTCTCCCATGGATGCCAAATCGCCAGCCAGAATGTGTGCCATTCTCTAGTTCCATATAGCCAGAGCAATGGCAAAGAGCCCCCCCAGTGCTATAGCGCAGCAGATCTGTGGCGACCCTGGTGATAATGTCATTGTGTCATAGACTTTATTTGGAATCGATGCTACCTTTCTATGTGATATCACAAAAGAATTATTTTGTATGTGTTTGTGTGTCAATGTGTATGTGCGTATGAACAATAATAAGAATGCATACTATCCTGTGAAACATGGGTGGTATGTATGAATTCACTTTTGAGCAAAGTACTACCGGTGGATCAATCACTATGTAAACTTTCTTGGAGATCCACGTTTACAAATTTCCACCAGATTTTATTATACATAACCCCCATAGACTGTGGAACAGTGGGTTGCAGTGGTTTTGAGTTAATCTACCTCTTTCTTTACAACCCTAATCAACGCTTAATAATTTATATTACCGTTAATTTGCTCAGTGCATTACATTCATCCACTAAATAATGAACTGTGATGACTTGAAAACAGAATTGCAAAATCCAGGCTAAAATAAATAATCTGTATTTCCCATATAAGATATTTTGGCCTACAATTTGCAATTTGGTTTTGCTATATATATTTCCTAGTGAATAAATGCCATAGAGACTGCATCCCTTGCAGTTCTGATTACAACCAGTAGGAGGGCAGCAAAGCATTGTTTCAGCTCCTCATTGGTTGCACTCTGTTCTGATGGGTTGTCTTCCCACTTTCAGAGTTTTTGACTTTTAACCCTTTCGACTCCATGGCAATGTTTGCCAACTTCACAGTGTGGGACCAGACAATGATCAGGGGTAGTCAATGATCATCTCCCCTAATGCTTTGCCAGCATTATGGCTAAAGAGAATTATGGGAGATGTAGTCCACAACATCTGGAGTGCCGAAGGTCAACTATCACTTGTCTAGGTTATAAAGGCCATTGTCATTGGGGACTACCATATTTTTTTTTAACAATACTTAAAAAAAAAAAAAAAGAAATTATATTTGCCATTTTGGAATATGAAGAGTAGTTGGGTATGTCAACATAGATAGTCCTTGGTTTGTTAGGGGTTATTGCAATTTCTCTAATATCCCTAAATAATCTGTTCAATGCTTGTAAAGCATCATTTATCTGTTTGTGTGTCTTTATCTTTGTTTGTTTGTCAGTGTATATATGTAGGTTTTCAGAATAATTATTTTTGATAAAAGAATAGGACATGAATTACAGTATTTATACATTTTGTATCAATGTTTAAAATGAGTTTTCAGTTCAGTGTTTTGATTCTGTTATTTGGAATCTTAGATATATTTCTGAGTGTTTGGTACTAAACTGTGAATTGCTGGAAAGGCATTCTGGACTAATTACTGGGTTTGATAAACAGCAACGTTTTTAAGCTTGACTATTATGGTCTAACATGTTATATCAATTATCAGTTTATCACAATTCACAATTTAGTAACTACAGCCACTAGTAAGAAGATAAAGTGCGTTTTCTCCTAAGTTAGCCCGTGGAGCCTGTGACACCCTTTAATAAATAGGCTTTGCAGAAAGCATAGGAGCTGACGATTTTACAAATTATAGAAATTCACAGATTAACCCTTTAAAATGCAGATGCAATGAAATAACATATGGGCACTGTATAGTTAAAGGGACACAATGGGCATTATAATGAAGTTGTTATGGTGTCCGGAGTGGTCCTTTAAATGTAATTTCATATGTATTTTGCGAACAAAGGTACAGTTAAAATACAATACAAATATGACATTTCTTGTTACAGCCCTATAATGTTGGATATTGGCATAAAGGTTTGAATTCCATCTATTTAAGCACTCCACAATCTCCCTCAATGCTTGGCGATGGCTTCCAGTACTTTATATTTGTGACCATGCGCACATCATTCTGAGAATGATTTACATACACTGCAGGGGAATGTGTGCATGCACGTTAATCCACATGCCAGTAAGGAAAATTTAGGGGAAAATATATTGGAATCCATAGACTTTTTGTAATTTTACTAAAACATTTTAGAGCATATATAATCACCTGGAGGTAAGCTTAGGCTTTAGGGACTGATTATCCAACATTTCTTAAGCCTTTGCAGTTCACCTGTTACTTAATAGGAACAAAAAATGGGAAAGATGATATTCAGTGGAATGCCCTTTCTGTCTACTATGTTATTTTAATTGGAGCATGGACTAGAAAGGGTTAACAGAGCTGTGCAAAGCTGGGTTAATGTTCTCACGATGATACCTGTTGAACCTTCCTTATGATGAGCAGAATTTCTGTTTCAAATGTAGTAGGCAGCTACATTTGAAACAGGGCTGTCATGACCCAAATAACAATTAGCTACCCCTTTCACCCGTTTCCTGCCCTGATACTTTATAAGGTCCATTTATAACTAAATTATCACACTTTGTTTCTATTACTATTTTTTTAATGAGTGTGCGTAGAGCAATCTCTGGTACAGCATATCTAATTAACATGTCAATGCTCCCCTTAATTTGCTTATTCCTCCGTTTTAGTGCAGCATTCTCAACCCCCCTCCACCGAGTCAAAGTTGTTTTTGTATATTTTCTCTGCCGGACACTTCTAGACACCGGGCGGAACTACCGCTGTCTAAAAGTGTCAATCTCCCCAGTCTTCATGGCTGCAGGAAATTGGCTCCATAGACCTGCAGGATGTTCCATAGACCTCAATGACCTTATACCGCGCAAGCGCGGGAGTTCATCAGTGACGTCGGCTCTCAGAAGAGGACCGGCGGAGGAAAATGGCTTCGCTTGTAAGGGACAGGTTCAGGTAAGTGGAAATCACCTTTACCTGCCTCCCTCCATCCACTGAACCCTTAACGGTGAAGTTACCATCGGGGGTCTTTGCAAATTCTGCAAAGTCCCCAGTTGGTGACAGTGCTGCTTTACAAGATTAATCTGTGTTAAAAATTGATAACAATTGAAATCATACAAATCTATAGTATTTTCTCATTCCTCTATTGGATTTTGTTTGTATATAAGTGATAAAAATGACAAACCATACATTTTTATTAGACTGTTGTGTCTGCAATGATTCTCCTTCTGAGAAGGGCAGTGCAGCTATTTCTTGAATAGACATAAATCCGCAACCAGCACATAAGCACAGAGTACATTGTCTGTAGTTGTCACAGTGTTGTAGTGCCCTTGATGGCCCAACACACGGTAAGGTGACAACTGTAGGCTTTTTTTTTTATACCTGGATGTGATTTGGCCCAGTCATCCCTAAGGTAATTGTCAACATTATCCACTAACCCAAAAGTTGTGAAGAAATTTTAGCTCAAAATACCGCAAATTTTTAAACTCTGTTATTGTATTATCTAAGATATTTTGGTCTAAGATTCCCTTAACCCCCCACAATCTTCTGGCTTGAATACCTTTGAGTAATCCCATATTGTTTTCATTTGCATTGTGCTCTGACGTGTAAAAATGAAATTTTAGCAGTATCGCTAAAAAATGGATGTTCTTTTCTGTGAAAAGGAAATTATAATCAAATTTTTTTTACTACTACTTTTGCACCTTTATAATGATTAAATATATATATATATATGTGTGTGTGTGTGTACAAGTCATAAAACTGTCAAAATAAAACCTTTAAAAAAAAAATCAAACAAATGTAATATCATTTAATTCTAGGCCACGATAGGTGCTTTGGTGCTTTGGTGATGGTTGGTTGAACTCCTTAAGTTCTCTTTAAAGCATGGACTGGTTTAACATTAGAGAGTTGAACAGTTCAGTCAACAAAGGTAAGAAATTGGCGCTGCAGAGTGTGTTGGTCAGTTCCAATTGATTTAATCTGAAATCTCAAGTCTTCAACTAAACCAATGGAATTTTATGCACATCAAAAGGTAATTCTTCTGAACATGAGTTACGTTATCCCATGTTAGCGCTAAAAGTTTGAGATTAAAATTTGGTGATAAAAACTTGTAGTGATGGCTCAGATTATTCTATGGATGAAAATTCTGACTGTATAGACTGAAATTATCTTCAGCGTTACATAGTTACATAGCTGAAAAGAGACTTGCGCCCATCAAGTTCAGCCTTCCTCACATATGTTGTTGCTGTTGATTCAAAAGAAGGCAAAAAACCCACTCTGAAGCGCTTCCAATTTTGCAACAAACTAGGAAAAAATTCCTTCTTGACCCCAAAATCAGATGTCTCCTTAGATCAAGCAGCTTTTACTACACTAACTAGAAATTATATCCCTGCATGTTATGTTTTTGTAAGTATTTATCCAATTGCAGTTTAAACATCTGTATAGACTCTGATAAAACCACCTTTTCAGGCAGAGAATTCCATATCCTTATTGCTCTTACTGTAAAAAAAACTTTTCTTTGCCTTAGATGAAATCTTTCTTCCAGCCTAAATGTGTGACCTCATGTCCTATGCATAGCCCTGTTTATGAATAGATTTCCAGATAATGGTTTCTACTGGCCCCAAATATATTTGTATAATGTTATTATATCCTCTCTGAGGCGCCGTTTTTCCAAACTAAAGAGATTTATATTTTTTAACCTTTCTTCATAACTAAAATGCTCCATTCCTTTTAGCAATTTTGTAGCTCGTCTCTGCACTTTTTCTAGTGCCATGATATCCTTCTTTAGAACAGGTGCCCAAAATTGCACAGCATATTCAAGGTGTGGTCTTACCAGTGATTTATAAAGAGGCAAAATTATATTTTCATCCCGAGAATTTATGCCCCTATTTATACATGACAAAACCTTACTGGCCTTAGCAACTGCAGATTGACATTGTATATTGCTGCCCAATTTGTTCTCTATAACAATTCCCAAATCCTTCTCGTTTGTGGTTATCCCTAATTCACTACCATTTAGGGTTTAAGTTGCCTGTGCATTCTTGACCCCGAAGTGCATAAATTTGCATTTCTCAACATTAAATTCCATCTGCCGTTTTAGTGCCCAGTCCACCAATCTATCCAAATCCCTCTGCAGCAAAGCAATATCCTGCTCACATATTATTACTTTACAAAGTTTTGTGTCACCTGCAAACACTGAAACATGGCTTTCAATGGCTATTTCAAGATCATTAATACACATGTTAAATAGAAGCGGCCCCAGAACAGAAATCTAAGGGACACCACTTACCACTTTTGTCCAGCCTGAAATCAACTCATTGTACTCTATCCTTAAGCCAATGTTCTACCCAAGAACACGCATATTCATCTAGACCAATTTCTTTTAGTTTGAAGACCTTCCTATTGTAAGGAACCATATCAAATGCCTTGGCAAAATCCAAGTAGATCACATCCACTGCAACACCCTGATCTATACTTCTATTTACTTCTTCGTAGAATGCAATTAGGTAAGTTTGACATGACCTATGTTTCATAAAACCATGCTGATTATTGCTAATAACAAAGTTCTTCCCAATGAATTCCTGAATATTATCCCTTAATAGCCCTTCAAATATTTTCCCAGTCACAGAAGTTAAGCTCACAGGTCTATAATTTCCAGGCAAGGATTTTTAACCCTTCTTAAATATAGGAACATATGCCTTCCTCCAATCCTCCGGTACAATACGTGAAACAAAAGAATCTTGAAATATTAAATACGTAGTTTAACTTAGTTCCCCACTTAGCTCCTTAAAGGACCACTATACGCACCCAGACCACTTCAGCTTAATGAAGTGGTCTGGGTGCCAAGTCCATCTAGGATTAACCCTTTTTTTTATAAACATAGCAGTTTCAGAGAAACTGCTATGTTTATAATATGGTTAATCTCTTGACAGCCGCTAGAGGCGCTTGCGTGCTTCTCACTGTGAAAATCACAGTGAGAAGACGCCAGCGTCCATAGGAAAGCAGTGTAAATGCTTTCCTAAGAACTGGCTGAATGCGTGCGTGGCTCCTGCCGCGTATGTGCATTCAGCCGATGATGTCGCTATGGAGGAGGAGGAGAGCTCCCCGCCCCGTGCTGGAGAAAGGTAAGATTTTAACCCCTTCCTCTCCCCAGAGCCCGGCAGGAGGGGGTCCCTGAGGGTGGGGGCACACTCAGGGCACTATAGTGCCAGGAAAACGAGTATGTTTTCCTGGCACTATAATGGTCCTTTAAGTACTCGTGTGTGAATACCTTCAGGCCCCGAGCTTTATTTACATTCATTTTCTTTAACTGCTGTAGCACCTTGTCTCGAGTCATCCAATCACAAGTTATCTGCAGGGTTGCTTCCGAAGTTCAAAAGACTGCAGTTCTGGTTAGCAAAAATAATGTGGTGCCATCCAGGGATAGTTCGATGACAAGTTCTCAATACTTACCAGTGTCCATAATTTACAATAATACTTCTGAATTAACTTGAATGTAGGCTGGATTTCAATATGACTATTTCTACAGGATATGTTCAGAGTGAATCTATTTGACATTAGTTTTTTGTTTTTTAATTAATATGTTATTCCTATATTTTACATATTATAAATATATATATATGTGTGTATTTATTAAATCTTTAGTTTACTCCTGTTTGTGTAACTGAGTGTAAGTGAATCATGATGTCTGTGCACCAGTATATAAGGAAGTGATATGGAAGTCTGGCAAAAAAATGGGAATAAAGTGTGTCAGGATATATAGTGAAGGAGTGTGTCAGGCACTGTACAGTATATCTGGAGCTGTAGGAAGGTTTCGGGAACAGTAGAATGTTTCAGATGAAGGTAAGTTTGAGAAAATGTAGAGTGTTTAAAGACAAAAAGACTGACAACAGTAGAGAGTTTTGGGAGCTGAATACATGCGTATAGAGTGTTTCGTGAGATTAAAGAAACACTCCAATGCCTAAATGGGCAAAAATAAATAAATCATGGATTAGTAGATATAACCCCAATAAATATATTTATGAATTTTAAAAGAGCTTGCAAAGGCTGCAGATCTTATTAACTGCAGCCTTAGCAAGCCCTCCCCTTTTTTTTTAGGAAATAACTAATCAGAGGCTTCTCATTAAGAAGCCTCTGAATTGGTGCCTATGTGCACGTGTGTGCACTTCTGGTCTGTGTGAGAGTAGGAAGAGGTTGGCACGCTTAAGTAGAGCATTTCTGACTCTGTTTGATTGACAGCCAGTGGGGTGTTCCCTAATTCATTTTTTAAAAGTGCAGAATTTTCATAGAAATTGGCACGTTTATAAAGTGGGACTTTCCCTTGTTGCCCCCTTCACAGATCTGCCAGTATATTGGAGATAGACTCGAAGCACTTACATTGATCAATGTATTCTGTTATCAATGACCTTGGTCAGGGGTCCTCAAATTTTTTAAACAGGGGGCCAGTTCATGGTCCCTCAGACACTGTTGGGGGCAGGACTATAAAAAATATTAACAAATTCCTATGAAATTCTGAAGCATCCGAATGTCTGAATTGCCGAAATTTGTCCGAATTTACATTCGGAACAAAACGAAGTGCACATGTCTAGTGTCTGAATACTAAGGATGGAGTTGGCAAAGTGGCCAATGGTGAATTTAGGGAGTAAGACCTACATGGGTGCGGTTTGGATTACATAAAGCTTTGCTTTGGGCTGAAACACCAGCTAAATTCCATATTGAGGAAAATTCATAAACAAATTGCAAAAAGTTGTGACTATAATTGAGTTGGAGAACTTTTCCAAATCAGCACTTTTTGTCTAAATTTTCTAATCTACGCTTTAGTTCACTACAATGTGAATGGGTACTACACTAAAATGGAAATTCTCAAGTGTTTATTGTAAATTCAGACTGAACCCCAAATTTTAGACCAAAATAGCTAAACAGGAAACGGCTGACTCGTAGAAGCTTTCCAGTTCTACAAACTACTTTGATCTATAAAATATGAAATCCCTTTGGATTCCATACAAGTCACGCTTTAGAGAATAACCCTTTCTGTTGTTAGAGAAACTAATAGCCAAATAATATTTTCTGCAATATTATAACTGTCTAGATTTTATATTGTAGAAACTTCTCCAATTCTTCAAAAATAAAGAATTAAAAAAAGATAACTTTTTTTAATTTCTTATTTTTTTAAGATTTTGAGAAATTTCTACAATACAAAATCTAGGCCATATTCTGTTCTGTTCATACTCTACTCGATAAATAATATATAACCAGGAAAAGGTAAAGAAAAAAATGAAAGTAAAACCATATAATCAGCTAGGAACTTTTGTATGTCTCTAAGAATTATTTCTCAGACATAAACCACTGCGAGTCTCCATCCCTTCCTCAAATTTTAGCTATATTCCTCTCCTTCGTCATGGGCCCACTGGTGACAGCACAGGTATCTAAGTTTCTATTTTTAGCTTACTTATTCTAGGCTGCACTGTATTCCATCTTGATTCAATCGGGTTTGCATGCTCATTGTAAAGTGTATCAGTTATTTTGTGCCATCTAGTGTTCTAATGAAGCATTGCAGAGGGTCGATAAACAACCAACCTGCCATGACATTTCTAAGATAATATAGTGTGATCCCTTCACCCATTTATTATATATTTAACAGCTAAAACAGACTTACAGGGTTTTTTTTTATTTTTTTTAATTTTTTTAGCATTTTTTCTCAACCCTGTTTTTTTTTTTATTACTTATTATGTATAATTTTATAGTTATTATTCTGTAGTATTATGTTTTATATTGGTATTAAAATATTTTTCAAAATTATTCAATACAAATAATAATAATAAAAAATTTTTTTTACAGTAGAGAGGAGTCCGCATAATTTGGGAATGTTCACTCCATTCCTGGTGATTATCAGAGAATCTTCTGCCCTGGTGGTGAATAAGGTAAAACAGTTTATAAAGGGGGGGGGGGAGCTGACCGCTGAGCGGACGCAGGCAGTAACAGCTCCTGTGCTAACAGACACTCTAAGCTACATCTGCCAACACAGACACCTAAATCGGGAAGACGGAACGGCGGGCTCGAAGTGGACAGAATCGAAGTGGACAGAAGCCAAGCCAGGGGATAGGGTGAAACTCCAACAACGCGCAGCCCAATGTGCACATCTCAGTTAGTGCCTTGCTGTTCCTCCACATACTGATATGTATCAACCCCTGCCTGAACTGTTTATTTTTCTTATTATTTTTCTTATTATTTACTATCATTGAAGGATACTTCAAACGTTGAAACACTGCTCGGCACCAACATGCGGCCTACTCACACGAGCGGCACGGGAGAGACAGCCGTTCTCCCGCCGCTTTCATACCCAGCTGATGTAATACAAAGCCCGCGTTCCCCCCCCCTATGGACAGCGGGGGTCATCCCGGTCCACACCACACTGGGCCCCAAGCTCCTATGAACTTCTGCGACCGCACCTAGTGACCAAGATGGCGGCTACCGACCACGCTTCTGGGCCTGCTCTCACCAAGCCTCTACAAGCGCAACATGTGAGCGGGATCCCTCACGCAGACCGCATAGCAGCAGCCTTCGACCACTTTTGTACACAACTGGAGGCCAAAATGTCACAGATGCGAGTAGCCCAAATGGTCTCTCAGCAACCCACCACCTCACCTGCTAAACCGGCGCCGAACAGCGCAACCGAGCCACGAACTGCGCCCGATGATGGCAGCCCGGATGGAGCACCCAGACAAACTCTCCGCTAACCCTGGGCCCAAACTATCTGACAGGCACAAACAAAGGGAGGAGAAAGAGAAGAGCGACACCTCATTGCAAGGCCTACCCCCTAACACTTGCCGACCCACGCCTCACCTCACTAGGCATAAAATCCCCACGCCGCGCACCTGTCACCAATGGAGACGATCCGATCGACCCCCTGGCACTTACCGGAGCCACAAGGTGACCAAAACTCATCACCGCAAACCCGGGCAGAGAGCCGCAAGGGGGAGCCCCCCAGTGCACAACTCACACCTCCGGAGAGGGAAACTTCAAGATCACACTAACACTGAACCCCACCGGGATACCGGCGAAGGAGCAACACGCAACCGGATCAGCAGGAACCAGGTTCCAACACAAGCCTGGGGCAGACGGAACAGCGGGCTCGAAGTGGACAGAATCGAAGTGGACAGAAGCCAAGCCAGGGGATAGGGTGAAACTCCAACAACGCGCAGCCCAATGTGCACATCTCAGTTAGTGCCTTGCTGTTCCTCCACATACTGATATGTATCAACCCCTGCCTGAACTGTTTATTTTTCTTATTATTTTTCTTATTATTTACTATCATTTAACAACTTACCATTTGATATAGCCTATCTAGTTTAAAGCTCTGGTACTACCCTAACCACTTACTAGCATGCACCAACTACACGGACGCATACTTAAAGCTGACTAGACTCCATGTTCAGGGACATGGGCATTAACTCTTATAATGCCTCTATACTATAAGTGCACAGCTGAAGCACCTAATGCACAGCAGGCAGGTCCACGAACGAGACACCTCATTAAAGCACAGCCTAGCCAAAAGCTTTCTGTTGAATTTTATTAGTTGTAAGCAGTTCGACAAGTTCAAGACAAATTATAACCTCTTGTAATATCTACTTTAACAAAATGTGCAGTACCCTCAAATGCCAACAACTGTTCCCATGTGTTTATTGCTTGAATCCACAACTGCTATTGTGGCAATGCAAATGTTTATGTCTAATTTATGCACAGCTAAAAATAAAGAATTATATAAAAAAAAAAACAGTTTATACAACAGAGTCCCTTGCCTCCTTAGTGAAACTATGCTAATTGCCTACATTCATGTGTAAAGAGGTCCCAGTCCACGTCTCCTTTGATGCAGCTACTGAAACCTGCAGCAGTTTGTAGAAACCAGTGTAGCTAGAAGCCTGCCAGCCTGCTGGGAGATTAGTGACTTGCCTAACAAATGACACAAGTGGAGGTAATCTGTGCAAAAAAAAAAAAAAAACTGCTTTACTAAAATTCCACTAATTTCACAGCTAACGTTCTTTTGGTATATGAAAAACAAAATTATGTAAATCATGTTAATACACAGAGTTGTTTTATGGTGACATATGGTCAATGTTAAATAGGTTAATATTTTTCCAACTGGCAGTCTGGTAGTGCCTGGCCCCCAGGGTTTGGACATTTGTAAGGGCAGGTATATCATAGAACCTGGAGGACATTTACTTAAGAATAAGTTAAGAGGTAGATTGAGGGGTAGAGTAACCATTATTTTCGCTGTATACCAGCAAATGTTTCAATGTGTGGCACCTCACATGTGTCTGAGCCTCCTCTTAGTGTGGGAGACTGGGGTTTGTTTCATTTCCAACAACTGGTGCCTACATTGACTCTATTTCTGGAAGAGCTCACTGCATTAACATAACAAGTTACTTTACACTCAGTAACTACAGACAAAGATCTAAAATTCCAGCTGCAGAAGGACTCAATTGAAATTCCAACACAATCAAAAATATATGATTAGACAAAATCCAAAGTTGATGAAACTTGACCAAAGGAAGAGGCTCCATCATCAAGTTTTGGGAATTCCCACAACCATCGCTTGTGGGTAAAAGGCTTCATCTCACATATTGTGAGATAACTTCTATGTACAGTCTTAGAAGGATCTTCCATAGACCTTCCATAGATCTTCCATAGACCATGCATGTGAGTATTTATTTATTTATTTATAAAATATTTTACCAGGATAGATACATTGAGATTTCTCTCGTTTTCATGTATGTCCTGGGTCTTTGTCCACATAACATTGCATTGTTACAATAGGATACAATATTACAAAAATACAATATACAAACTATACATACACACATATATAAATTTAATACATTACAGGTAATAAATATATTCAACCATGACAGGTGCATTCTGTGCTGAGGTATATTGCCATAGATCTCTTAAAAGATTTTAGATTGAATGAAGATTTGACTGTGTCCCTGAGGTTATTCAATAATTGCGGTGCTCTGTAGTAAAAAGAGGATCGAGCAACTTTATTTATGTATTGCGGTATGCTAAATATTGTGCAAGTACTGGATCAGAGGTTATAGGAGGTGGGAACAGCAGGGGAGAGCATTCTACTCAGGTAGGGTGGGAGCTTCCCAGAAATGCTCTTATACACAAGGCTGGAAAGATGAAGAGTGTGTCAGGGTTCCAGCGACAGCAAGTTTAGCTCTTCTAACATGTCACAGTGGTGGGTAAAGTAATTACATTCTAGTACAAAGCGGCAGAACAAATTATATAAAGTATCAAGTTTATAAAGGTGGGTTTGCGGTGCGGGTGCATACACCACATCCCCATAAGCAATGACTGGCATTAGCATTTGTTGCACTATCTGTTTCCTTACTGTACGGCTTAGGCAGGATTTGTTTCTGCACAGGGCACCTAGTTTTGGATAAAGTTTTGAAGAGATTTTTTCAATATGAAGACCAAAAGATAGATTGGGGTCTAGCAACATACCTAGATATTTAAAAGAGCAGACTGCTGCCAGTGTGCTATTTGAATTTGTTCTGATACACAATTGTTGATTTTGCAGTTTATGTAATTTAGGTACAGTTCCAAAAATAATTGTAACAGTTTTGCTATTGTTTAGGAAGAGTTTATTATCCGCTATCCACTTTACTACCTCTGTGAATTGGTTTTGGAGCACAGCCTCAAGCTGCGGTAGCTTGGGTTTACTAGCGTAGATTACAGTGTCATTTGCTTACAGGTGTACAGTTGAGGATTTGCAGACGTTAGGCAGATCGTTTATAAATAATGTGAATAGCAGGGAGCTGAGTATGGAGCCTCAGGGAGCACCACACGTGACTGGAAGAGGTAGGGAAGCGCATTCAGAAATGGCCACATATTGCAATCGGTCTGAAACATACGATCGAAACCAGGCTGAGTGTTTAAGTTTTTGCAAAAGAATGCCATGGTCTACTGTGTCAAAGGCCTTGGCAAAATCAAGGAAAATAGCTCCAGTTAAGGCTCATTGTTCCATGCCAATTTGGATGTCATTGCAAACTTTTTTAAGAGGGCAGTCGAAGTTGAGTGATTTGGACGAAAGCCTGAATGATCAGGGGTCAGATAATTTGATCGTTGATAATATTCACATAGTTGCGTGTGGACGCATTTTTTTCAAGATTTTTGTCAAAACAGGGAGCAATGATATCAGGCGATAGTTAGATACCTGATATCAGTAGCACAGCTCCTGAAAGATGAAGTACTAGGACAAATAAGATTGACACCAGGAAAAAGATGGCAGTGCTCATTAGGGAGAGCATTTAAAAAAGTATATTATTCTTCAGCTTCTCCCCCCTGATTTTAATTTAAAAACATATCTCACAATTGGTGGTATCCACTTTGTTTGGAGAATGTTTTAGTGAGCTGATACTGTTATGACCTATGCTAGATATGGAAAATAGGTCTCTGAGGAAGTGCCCTCTACTCCCCCTCTATGCAATGCCTATTGCCTATTGTCACTATGCTGTATTGATTTTATTATACGAAGAAATAAAGCTTGAACCTTTACTCAACTGCTCAACTTTGGATGTCCATTCCCTTTGGGAACCCGGTGTTGCTGTATTCAATGTTGGTAGTGGATGGAGAACCCATATGTCCATACATGGAGGGTAAGAATATATGCATCTTTATTTGTTTTTGCTTAGCTTTGACTCTGTTACTGAACTTATTTTGATAGTGAGTACACAGTATCCCTTTTAAATTGTGTAGGTTACTGTCCAGCGCCTTCCTCTTGCTTTTTCTAAGTATTTTGAAAACTTCCTATTGCAGGATTTGTCGCATATTTTCATATTAATGATTAAAATGTTCCGTAAAATTCTAAATTAATTAATAGAAGTTAAAATATTTGAATACAATGTACACAGTCCCTATAAAAATTAATGAAATTAGAATATCAGAATTTGATTTAACCATACAGACACTGTTTGACTAGCTCAGATTTGAGTTCAGTTGATGTTCAGAAGAGAGCGATCTTTGATCTCTCGGTTCTCTTTGCTCTACCTTATCTGCTCCATCTTCTGAGTTCACTCTTTTTGACTATATGTGACACATAATTCCATTTTGTTATATTAACAAACTCCAGGATCCTGAACAACTGTTGCTCTTCCACAGCACTTCCATATTTTGGGAGACTATGCATTCGATGGGGCCTGTGACACACTCCTAGTTACTTTGATATCCACGTAAAAATTCCATATGCGAACATGCGCGTTTTGCATTTTCTTCAGCTGTGCCATATGCATGCAAGTGCCGTGCTCATGGCACTACAGAGGTTGATGAATTTACAAACCTCGCTAGATTTTGCCAGGAAAATGTTATACACTTAGAAACATAGAATGTGATGGCAGATAAGAACCATTTGGCCCATCTAGTCTGCCCAATTGTTTAGATTATTTCATTAGTCCCTGGCCTTATCTTATAGCTAGGATAGCCTTATGCCTATCCCAGGCATGCTTAAACCCCTTCACTGTGTTCACCTCTACCACTTCAGCTGGAAGGCTATTCCATGCACCCACTACCCTCTCAGTAAAGTAATACTTCCTGATGATATTTTTAAACCTGTGTCACTCTAATTTAAGACTATGTCCTCTTATTGTGGTAGTTTTTCTTCTTTAAATTATAGTCTCCTCCTTTACTGTGTTGATTCCCTTTATATATTTAAATGTTTCTATCATGTCCCCCCCGTGTCTCGTCTTTCCTCCAAGCTATACATGTTAAGATCCTTTAACCTTTCCTGATAAGTTTTATCCCGGAATCCATGAACCAGTCACGCTTTAGAGAATAACCCTTCTTGACATGTATGAAACTAAAATAAATTAAATTGGTTATGTGACAGTTCTTCTTTAAGTTCATTTATATTTTTCTCTTCTGCATTTTCAGGGTCAGTTTTTCTCTTTTTTTTAAAGTAACTAAAATGATTTATTACAAATTGTCAACGCTAATATGCACCCAACACGTACCCTAGAACAAAGAGTATAGAAAACATGTTACTTCCTTAGAATGGCTGGTCTTAATATTAAGGACAGCAGGATAGTCTGAAAACAGACAGAGAATAGTCTATAGAACAATACAAAGTCACTGAGAACAGAAGAACAGAAACTTGTAGGACTAGGCATGGTTGAGGATAAGAAAATTCTTGGAAAAGGGAAGAACAAGAAAAGTAATTAGTGTATGTAGTGCTCAACCGCAGGGATTTATTGCAAATTGCTGATAAATTATCTTGGTTGCTAAATGGAAATTCCTAATATCTATTTAGTATAGCAAATACATAATAAACATCAAACCATATCCAACAAATGTCATTATGCAAAAGTGTTTATTGATACAAATTAGCACTATTAGAGAGCATAAATGACATAATACTATAATAAGCAACGACATAGCAAAATATACAATATAAGTATATGTGCAAACAAAACAAACTGTGTATAAACTACAAACCCACCAATGGTACCTTAGGTACACTGACCTAAAAGGATGAACAAGCCCAGTTGCTAGCCAATAAGCCAATGGAATCAAGTCTACGCATTCTCTGACATCTGAGATCACAACTGTGTTACTGATAGGTAAACAGAGGAGTGGTCTCAAGTATCCTAAAGTTGATTTCCATTGGTCTGTGTCAAAATTTGATTCCTGAAATTGCAGAACCTGCATGGCAGAAATGACACGGATGACTGTGACTCCAGAAAATGATGCGGGCATGACTGCTAATAAAAGAATGCAGGGACAGAGAGGTCAGCATCAAACTCAATGCCAGAATGACACACCGAGAATATTCTTGTTTGACAGTGTCCTGGAGGGGCAGAGGTTGCAATACACAAGCATCTGTGATGTGACAGGTAGGAATCTCTGCTGGAAACAAGCGTGCTCTTTCTGCATGGTAGGACAAGCTGAATATAACTCAAGCTCGAGTTTAACCTTTCCCGTACTGCTTTTCATACAAAAGGAGGTATTAAATCTAAGCTTCAAGTGATTTCTAATATGTGTTCCAATAAGGGTAAAAATCCTATCAGTTTCAAAATTAATTAAAAACTGGATCAGCATTAACAATGTGTATACGAACTGTTATTGCTACTACCTGCATCCACTACTAAACATGTGAGCTTCCATTAGCTGCAACAGTGCTTAGCTCAGACAGACAGCTTCCAGCTCTATATTACTAGTAGTAACTGGTCTCCATCCGGTCATGCCATCTCTTTGGCTGAGATAATCAGTGTAGATTGGGGTAGTCAACCTGGTCCCTACCGCCCACTAGTGGGCAGTTTGGGATTTAAGGTGGGCGGTGGTGGGTTCTGCAGAGAACACCCAGTGGGCCTTGATGGCTGTGGACCAAGGCCGGCAGGGGGCATCCTTTCATCTCCCCTGCCGGCCCAAGTAAAGCCAGCCTTGCTGTAAGCCCCATTGGGCATATGTCCCCCCTCCCTGGTAAAAGGTAAGAAGAAGGGAGGGGGAGACATTAAGATAGATTTTCACGTCTCACCCACCTACACACAGCATAGACCCTATGCACCCTTCACACACAAACACTACACCCCTCACACACATACTGCCCCCTCACATAAGCACTGCCGCAACCTTTACCTATGCACCGCCCCTTCATACACATGCTGCACCTCTCACACACACTACACCCTTTACACATATACACACTGCACCCTATATACACACAGCACCTCTCACACACACATAGGGGAAAAAAGTATAGAAAATGTAAAAAAAAAAATAGAAACTAAAAAAAAAGGAAAATAAATGTTAAAAATAAAAAACAAATTGCACTTGCGCTATAAAATTAGTTACTGCGTCACTGGTGGGCAGTAAGGAAATTTTACCATCAACAAAGATACAAAAGTGGGCAGTTGGTATTAAAAGGTTGACTACAGTAGATGATTTCAGCTGATCCATACATAAGGAAACATTTATTGACTTGTGTGCATACGCGGCAAAATGTCACACTATGTCAATCAAATGGTCTCTATGAAGTGCCGAGTACATATTGAATGTGGAATCCAGACAATATCTTTTAATTATTTTTTTTAAATTAATTTTAAAATAGGTCATATGCTTTCTATGCTATTTTATTATCACTTAACTTGCCAGAGGGGTAACATGAATTGACAGTTAATGTCTTACAAAATTTTCGATTTTACTGAATAGGAAAATAATGCTTAATATGGGCGATACAAAGGCTAGTGAGTAGTTACGTAAATCTCCAAACATGAATTGCATGAATCAACCAATTCTCCGTTACATAGCAAAGCATTTTAGATTCTCCCTTCTTATCTGGGACTGAATAGGAGTGGAGAGGGTAATGAATATTAAAGCTCCCAGGGGGTGTCCAAATTGAAACAAATGACCTAGATAAACAGCTTATGGCATTCTTCTTACAATCATCCCTCTCCCACCTAATCTTTCATCTACAATCATTTGAGTTCCACCTGATTCAAATAAACCACCCAGAGGCCAGAGCAGATTACAATTCTGAGTCTGCACAGACAAGATAGTGCTCGACTTGTCTTTAATGCAAATGTGCTGTCTAAGTGTGTGGGAAACTAACAAAACAGGCATTCTGTACAGCCAGAAGTTTTCTGTGTCTTGCAAAATTGATCTGTATCACAAATATTTAATTCTTTTTGTATATGTGCTCTGTGATTTAAAATGCCTGTGTCATAATATTTTGTCGCTAAAAGAGGGCAATCAGATGTTATCTCAAATGATTAACCTTAGTGAAATCTTTAGAATTTTGATTACATTACAAGTTTGTGTAAGTGGATGGTATTTTGTTTTGTTTTATTTGGTTTATATTTACTAAACTGAGTTTGTATCTCTTTAATTACCATGTATTATTTATAATTTCCTATTCTATACTACTTGAATATTTTGTTATAAATTATTTACAAAATAAAAAAATCTGTAGAAGTGCTCACTAGATCACAAGGTCTTATACAGGTCTGTCCTCTAAGTCTGTCGTCATTTAAAATTTGACTTGTCCATGATATAAAGTCCTTATGGTGTCTAATGATATCTTTCGATTGCATTGGAATTTCATTGAGATTTATTGAGAAAGAACAAGCGCTATTATGGGTTAAGAAACATTCTTTTGGTTTCTATGGTGATTTCTATTTAACATTTGCCCCATGATAGTACCGGTTTTGTCTTGATAAATCTCCCTCTATATTAAATAAAAGTTTCCTAAGAGACAGTGTTTTGAATAAGGAATAAAGCAGCAGTGTAAGTTAGTTATAGCTGTTATATGGGACTCTTCCCTATACCTAATTTTAGAAAGCAATTGGCATGTACGACTTACATAACTGTTGTTGGCTCAGACATGGATCCCCCAATTGCCAGCCTTCCTATGTATTATATAAATCTTCAGTTATTTTTTTTTTTTTACTACTAACAATAAGATAATTATTCAGGGAGGGTGCCATTAATTAATTACTCTGGCCTTTCATCGTCAAATTGCGTAAATTATCGGCATATGTTTAAGCAAAAGAGATAAACTAGTATTTAACAAGAACCCCAGGGCTACTTTTACTAAAATAATGATTCTTTTTAGACTGGATGCTAGTCTTGAAAAACAGGTTGTACAGCAAGTACAGTGGCTCCCAAATACATGCAGTATATGGAACTGATAACAGAGTACTGTTATTATTATTACTGGTATTTATTTAGCGCCAGCATATTCCGTAGCACTTTACAATATTAGAAATGTTTTTTAAGTGTCCATTTGAGCTAAAGATATGTTAATAAAACCTGCGAGAGGGGAGACAATGAATCTGCAAATGTCTTTAGGGCAAACATGACAAGTGATAAAATAAAAGTGCAGACTATGCAGATTGAGTGGAGGGAGGTAAACTTGCTGAGATTAAATATTTTAAATCACACTTAATCAGTGCAAAAATGTTGCATCTCATTAGAGAGCTGGCATCTCAAACGTTTGCTTCTGAGATGTTGTTAAACTGCAACTCTCTACACTTTTTTGATCATCTATTGCTAATTTTGGAGTTGTAGGCCATCAACATCTGGGGGCCCACAATTTGAGATCTCTATTTTAGAGAATGTTACTTTTGAAAATTATACACAGCTCTAGTTCTGAAAGTTGACTAATAATGCTGATAATTATCTTTTATTTTAAATACCAAGTTTTTTTTTGTTTTGTTTTTTACTGTGCATCAAGTATGTCAAGGCACAGAGTGGCATACAATGCAAATCAGTGAAATGCCATGATGCAATGCATGTCAGCCTGTGAACACATATAAAACACACATCATTGTGAAAATGCATGTGTCAAGCATTATGAGATCTATATGATCAAGTTATCATGCAAAATGCAATTGTAAAAAAACTGACCCTTTATAAACTTAAATGTTAAGGGTCCTCCTTAATTTTGGAGCAGTCAGCAGATATTTTCTTTGTGACTATTACGTTTGTCCAAACTTTCACTGCTTGCCTTTTATTCTTGTGCTAAACACTGCCTCTAAAACTGTACCCACCGAAAAACATGCAGGGTTTTAATCACGCTGAAATGTGTGTCATTTCACGCTCTCTACTCACCCACACTGCCTTGAAGATATTTCGAATTGGAGTTATAATTGTTGAAACATTATATAACTTATGGATAAATTATTTGAGAATGGCCTGTACCAATAAATTCAATCTTCATATTAGTTTTTTTAAAATATATATTCAATAGTTGCATTATTATTATTATTATTATTATTATTATTATTATTTCAATATTCATTTAAAATGAATTAATCAAAATGCTTTTGGCCAAGACTGTAAAAGTAAAACTATACATCGCTTTCTGTTTTCTATACTGTAGATGAACAAGTGTCACTGGAATGTAATCATTCTGTAGAATCAGGCAGTAGCCCTGGTTTTTATGAGATTTCAGGTTTCCCACGGTTAAATGTCTCATTTGTGTCATGTTAAAATTGTACTACACCCAGTCCACCTGTTCTTCTGCTTGGGAGAGAAATAGCCCCAGGCATATATGGTCAGACCTTTCAGACACACTTTTGCCATATCTATTGTATTTGTTTTTCTTGCTTGTTTTCTTTCATGTGTTCATGAGTGTGGGAAACTGTAATTGTATAATAGTTGTCTGTCGGCATGGGCTGTGCAATATAAAACCACATGAGCTTTTGCTAGAAAGGCCTCATTTCTCTTTAATGCAATAAAGCTAGCATATTCTAGTAGAGAAGAAACTACTGTACTTATAATGGCACCAAATGGCTACATGTTTCAGGATTCTACACAATCAAAACAAATTGGAATAAAAGCAAATAAGGTACTTACAAAAAAAAAAAGATAATATAATATTACTAATAATTATAATTTTCTTAATGCATTAGATTTGGTCCTATTATTGCATGTACAGAAATATTTTGTCAGTATTTTTTTGGAATACAAGGGGGCAGTTCATCAACATTTTGTGTAAAATACTAAATAGTAAGTATGCATTAGAATAAAATAGGTTGGTTTGTATGGAATGTTTTCTTCTTTAGTAAATATTGTGTTAGAAGATTGCGTCAATGTTGAAATAACCTGTTATGGTTTGTTTTTTTTTTAGATAAGGAAGCCGGTTATAGAGAAGATGAGGAGAGATCGTATTAATAGCAGTATTGAAAAACTCCGGATTTTATTGGAAAAAGATATTCAGATACATCACCCTCACTCGAAACTGGAGAAAGCAGATATATTAGAAATGGCTGTTACCTACCTTCAACAGCACAGACTGCAGCAGACGAATGGTAAGTTTCACACAACAGTTAAAAGATATGATTGACAATTGTCTCCTTTGATTATAAAAAATATGTTTTTTGCTGTCAGGATTATTTCTTAAACTCTGTTTGTAGCAAATGAAAATGTGAAATGTGAAAAACTGTTGCTCTGGGAACATTTTCCAATTCAGACATAGTCATAGCTTGGTTATTTAGACTACATTTTGACATTTAGATTTTATTTTTAAGTTTTTGACACAAAGAATAGTCTATTTTTTGGGGGGGTGGGTATGGGGGGAGGGTTGGGGGGTTAATTCTGAACCTATACTGGCTATAAAAGTAAAAAATGCAGATTTGTAAATGTTACTGGAGCAAATATTTAGGTATTGTTCATTTCTTCTTGTTAGATCAACAAGTCGCATAATTTATTCAAGATTCTCGCAGGCTGGATTACATTCTAAAATATTTATACAATACAGTGTGAGCTGATGTGAATTCAAAACTAATTCAAAGTGAATTTCAGATTTAAGGCCGTAATAGGCAAATTGAGCAAAAATATTTCAGCTATGTTTTCAATTCAGCTAAACTTTTAAATCACATTAAATTGTTGATAATCACGCTTTAGCATAACCCTGTAAATGTAAAAGAAACACTACACCTGCTTTGAATATTAATCATTTATCTGTCTGTGAATTTAATTTCATCAAACACAGATAAAGTGAATTGTAAACTCAAAACTAATTTTGCTAAATTTAGGCTGAAATAGCAAAGTTTGGAATATATAAATTGGTAATTTGACTGGCTTACAACCTACCCCCTCCCTGTGGTGTTCCCTGCCTATCATTGCGTTCCAAGTTTCATAAAATTGACATTGATCAAGTAAAAGTGAAAAGGCAAGGGCAGTTCTGGGCACTGAGGAGAGCCCTGTTCCTTAACTGTAAACAGAACAACTAAACTAAACTGTGGTGGCTATGTTGCCTATAGTGTGCCTTTAATTGCAATGTTTTTAATATAATACGTTCCTCAAATATTTAGCCGTTTAACAGTATTGTATGCATTAAATGCAATTTTCTATCAAACATAATAGGCTTAAATCAAACTTTGAAAGATGCAGATGAAAAATGCATGTGTTAATTGCTAAACTGTGAGATTATCATAGATTAGGCAAAAAGTGCTGAATTCTATAATATGGCTAATTTGCAATTCCGCTGTTGACTTGCCACAATCTATTGTTTAAAGGGACACTATAGCCACCTGAACCACTTTAGCTTAATGAAGCAGTTTTGGTGTATAGAACATGCCCCTGCAACCTCACTGTTCAATCCTCTGCCATTTAGGAGTTAAATCCCTTTGTTTATGAACCCTAGTCACACCTCCCTACATGTGACTTGCACAGCCTTCCATAAACACTTTCTGTAAAGAGAGCCCTATGTAGGCTTTCTTTATTGCAAGTTCTGTTTAATTAAGATTTTCTTATCCCCTGCTATGTTAATAGCTTGCTAGACCATGCAAGAGCCTCCTGTATGTGATTAAAGCTCAATTTAGAGATTGAGATACAATTATTTAAGGTAAATTACATCTGTTTGAAAGTGAAACAAGTTTTTTTTTCATGCAGGCTCTGTCAAACATAGCCAGGGGAGGTGTGGCTAGGGCTGCATAAACAGAAACAAAGTGATTTAACTCCTAAATGGCAGAGAATTGAGCAGTGAAATTGCAGAGGAATGATCTATACACTAAAACTGCTTTATTTAGCTAAAGTAATTTAGGTGACTATAGTGTTCCTTTAATTATTATGTCCCATTCTATTTCTATGATTTCTTTGCTCAACAGTCTTAAAAATATTTTTATCTAAATTTTCCGTGATATTTAAAGTTAATGATTTTTGTTTCTCTCACTCTCTGAAGATGCTCAGTACTGCATGACAAATGATCAAGATTCCTACTATCAAGGTTACTATCTGTGCCTTAAAGAAACAATGGGTTTTCTGCATAAACAGAACCCGGAACTGTATGTACAATCACAATCATTACATCATCTTGACTTGGAAAAAAATGGTACTTACTCCAAAAAGTGCCTAATTCGTTCACCTAAAACAATATTCCAGCAAAGAAGTTCCTATCAGACTTCACAATGTCCTGAGAATATATGGAGACCTTGGTAGTCACCTGTATACAAACTTTATAGATTGACTACACAAAACACCCCTCATTACCCACTGTGCAAAGTGAATTGAGACATTTATATGCATGAGCAAAACGTCTGCCAGGGTTACAAAATGAGGGACAAGTCTTCAAGCTTGTCAATGTTAAATTGTTTTAAGACAGGAAGAAGATGCACAAAACAAAATTATATCTTGCATTAAACTGAGCAGGCATATAAAATGGCTATAAATATATATTTTGTAGCATACTAAACTCGGAAGTGCCCATAGCACCACTTGACGTGTTAAAAGGTGCCAATCATGGCTTGCCAACTACTGGAAGCCAATTGTGGTTGGAGAGAAAGTCCTGGACTGGGCCACCACAGGATATTTGGGGCAGTAGAGGTTTGAATAAAACTATGCAACATTCGCCTGACTCTTAATATGGTCAAATAAAAATACATATATAATAATATGTTTAGATATATAATTAATGTTAGCAGGTAACAGTATTAAAAGAAAAGAGTATTGAGGTGTTATATGTTTTTATTGGCAAGATTTGTGTTTGGAACTAACTAGACAAATCTAGACAAAAACAGCAGAGTTCTAAATAATATCCTGTTACCATCTCAGCTACATATAATATGCTAGGTGTTCAGTGTAACTCACTGTTTACTGAGCAAGCCACAAAATATGCAAGTGCATGCTTGGAGATCTCATCAGCTCAAGAGATGTAAAGCATTTAGAAATGTCAGACAGCCCATATCACCTTAATGTATATGTTAACGTAAAGGAAACTTTAATTGACTGATATAATGCTTTACCAAATGTCAGGTCAGCAGCTCTTTGAAGTGTTTTGCGGGGAAATTGTGTTTTTTGTTTCTTTACAGGGGTAACGGATGCAGTGTATCCAGGTATCCCTTTACAGTCACCCACCATACTTGCTTGTTAAAATTGTGTGTGGTTGTAGTAAGAATCCACCCTCTCTCCTCACCTGCCCCCATTAACTTACATTCACCTGCCATGCAACCAATCTGTCTTATACTGTTAAATCCAGTTGCATTCACTCAGTCACATAACATGTTACATAGCCCAATCCAGTCACACACAACTACCCACCTATTCACATTCACCCAGCTACACACACTGTCACATACAGCTACCCACCTAATCACATTCACCCAACCACACACACTGTCACATACAGCTACCCACCTAATCACCTTCACCCAGCCACACACACTGTCACATGCAGCTACCCACCTATTCACATTCACCCAACCACACACACTGCAACATACAGCTACCCACCTAATCACATTCACCCAACCACACACACTGTCACATACAGCTACCCACCTATTCACATTCACCCAGCTACACACACTGTCACATACAGCTACCCACCTAATCACATTCACCCAACCACACACACTGTCACATACAGCTACCCACCTATTCACATTCACCCAGCTACACACACTGTCACATACAGCTACCCACCTAATCACATTCATCCAACCACACACACTGTCACATACAGCTACCAACCTAATCACATTCACCCAGCCACACACACTGTCACATAGAGCTACCCACCTATTCACATTCACCAAGCTACACACACTGTCACATACAGCTACCCACCTAATCACATTCACCCAGCCACACACACTGTCACATAGAGCTACCCACCTAATCACCTTCACCCAGCCACACACACTGTCACATAGAGCTACCCACCTAATCACATTCGCCCAACCACACACACTGTCACATACAGCTACCCACCTAATCACATTCGCCCAACCACACACACTGTCACATACAGCTACCCACCTAATCACATTCACCCAGCCACACATACGGTCACATATAGCTACCCACCTAATCACATTCATCCAACCACACGCACTGTCACACACAGCTACCGCCTAATCAAATTCATGTGTTAAATTTATATATGTGAGTATGTATATATATATATATATTGTGTATATTGTATTTTTTTTTTTTTAATATTGTATCCTGTTTTAACAATGCAATGTTTTGTGAACTCAGGACATACTTAAAACAAGAGAAATCTAAATGTATCCTTCCTGGTAAAAAAATTTATAAATAAATTAATAAATAATTCACCCAGCCACATGCACTGTCACAAACCCAATCACATTCACCCATCCACACTACCCACCCAATCACATTCACGCAGCCACACGCACTATCACATACAGCTACCCACCCAATCACATTCACGCAGCCACACGCACTGTCACATACAGCTACCCACCTAATCACATTCACCATACTCTCTAAAAGGAGTGAGGCATATAAAACAAGTTTCTTTTTAATTTAGTAATATTTTTCATGATATTCAGAGAGGTCAGATACTAGAATTAAAGGATCACTATAGGATCAGGAACACAAACATGTATTCCTGACCCTATAGTGTTAAACCCACCATCTAGCCCCCCAGTGTCCCTCATGCCTCCATAAATATAGTAAAAAATCTTACTGTATTCATGCTTGAAGCTGTAACTCTGCATGCTGTTAGACTCAGAAAACAAGCAGTCTGCTGACATCACTGAAGTGGTAGCCTGATCCACTCACAGTGCTTCCCCATAGGATTGGCTGAGACTGACAAGGAGGCAGATCAGGGGCAGAGCCAGCATGATTCAAACACAGCCCTGGCCAATCAGCATCTCCTCATAGAGATGAATTGAATCAATGAATCTCTATGAGGAAAGTTCAGTGTCTGCATGCAAAGGGAGGAAATACTGAATGTTTGGATGCATTTTAGGCAGCCATGACCCAGGAAGGATCTCTTAACAGCCATCTGAGGAGTGGCCAGTGAAGTTATCACTAGGCTGTAATGTAAACACTGCATTTTCTCTGAAAAGACAGTGTTTACAGCAAAAAGCCTGAAGGCAATGATCCTACACACCAGAACAAATTCAATAAGCTGTAGTTGTTCTGGTGACTATAGTGTCCCTTTAACAACAAGGAAAAGTGGTATAATATTTCCAAATTGGGAGCATTCAACATAATCTGGTCTGACCGGTTTCATTAAAGGACTGGAATACTCTAATTGTGTCCATAATTGCTCTAATATATTTTTATTTTTTATATATATATTGAATGCGTGAATCTAGGGTGTTAAAAATAAATTGTAAAATAATGCACTGATGTATACCAAAAGACTATACAAGTAATATATATATATATATTGTTCAATAAAAAGTATTTTGATAATGAATTTTGTGTGTGAGCTGTTTGTTTATAAGATAACAGGACGAGTTCCATAAACAATCCAGCCAAATAAAACCCTTATTATTTTACATAGTAGATAGAAAAAGTAAAGTCAAATATGTTTTATATAATGACAAACTGGGGGAATTTAACTCCAAAGGTTGGCTGAGAAAGAACAGCCAAGAATAGCAACTCACCAAGTTAATTTACCAGTGGGGGGATAGAGATTTGTTAAAAATTAATTCTACTAATAACAAGCGTTGAATAGTCAAGAATGGCCGACTTAAAGGGACTCTCCAGTGCCAGGAAAACAATGTGTTTTCCTGGCACTGCAGGTCCCCTCTCCCTCCCACCTCCCATCCCCGGTTGCTGATGGGGTGAAAACTTCCTCCGCTCATGCTCCTCCCCTTCATCATGTCAGCTGCGGGGGAGACTGATCACACCTGCCGGCAGGGGAGACCTAATCACACCCGCCGGTGGGGGAGACCTAATGCGCTTGCGCGGCAATACGCATTAGACCTCTCCATAGGAAAGCATTGCAAATGCTTTGCAATGCTTTCCTATGGGGATTTTAGCGACGCTGTAGGTCCTCACACAGCGTAAGGACATCCAGCGACGCTATAGCACAGAAAACCTGTGCTATAGACCAGGAAGTGCTCCTAGTAACTGTCTAGTAGACAGCCACTAGAGGAGACGTTAACCCTGCAAGTTAATTATTGCAGTTTATAAAAACTGCAATAATTACACTTGCAGGGTTAAGGGTAGTGGGAGTTGGCACCCAGACCACTCCAATGGGCAGAAGTGGTCTGGGTACCTGGAGTGTCCCTTTAACACCAAGAATAATTTATGTATGTAGCCAGGGATAAAGGTACCCTTCACTGCATTGAAGGTGGTGGTTATTTTAGATTTGAGACAAAGGAAATAAGCATTTAAGCATTCCCTGGATCTCTTTTGGGCTTGGATTGAATCAGAGGGCTTGGGGGTATATCTGGCCCAATCAGGGCATCTCTTGGTTTACAAATTATTGGACAAGGTGACTGCAATTTATTACCTTCCTCCATGCCATGTGAAAAGTATGGAGGAAGGAGGATTGTCTTACCCATCATGCTTACCTGGTTTTGGTAAAGCGGTCATGTGGGGAGGAAGAAGAGGGGAGTTTTCATCAATCTCCTCAGTGGACCATCATTTGTCTGGTTTACTGGAAGGGCCATTTGCTGTGCTCTCTCAATTGTGGGGGTTTCCCATTCATTGGTTATTTTTTTTACATGTAAATGAAAAAAAGTTAGCATAATGCTAAAAGTGGGCCAATAGAATTTAAAATTGATTGTGCCCAGGTTTTCATCCTGGTAATACAAGTTTTTTGTAACAAACAATATTTTTTTTCCACAAACATGTATTCCTGACACTATTGTCAAGATTTAAACCTGGCGGTTCTGGTGCTGTTATGTTACCTCTGAGCCACCTCTCAGCTTTACTATTGACTGTATCTAGCCCTGTCTAGTATCTAGCACTGGGGGCTGGACATTTAGTGGAACTACTCCTGCCACTCATGTTACACCTGAAGTTGATGTCTCGTTAGCCAGGTATATAACACTGCCTCTACCAGAAGGCAGTGTCAGTTCATTGACTCTGGTGTTCGGTTTGCTGTTTCCTGTTCTCCAGTTTGCTCTTGACTCTGGCTTGTGTTTTGTTTATTCTGACTTTTGGCGTCCTCTGACCCTTGGCTTCCCACGACTATTCTCCTGGTTTATCCGTTCCTGTACCGTGACTTGGAGTTTACCCTGCACAGCCCCCGTGCACCGACTCACAGGCCAGGTGAATTCTTAGCTGACCACCTCGGCCTGTGTTTACTTGCAAGGGTGAGCATATATCTCTGACTGCCGGACTCCCAACTCAAGTAAGCCCTGACAACTATAAACCCACTAATTAGGTAACCGACCCCCTGTTAGAGCAGTGAAACTGTGCTTTTTACTCACCTTTTCTCCCATGCCACGCTGGGCTCGCCGTGGCTGGCCTTGTCTTGCTCTGCCCCATGGCTGAGATAATCAAACTTAATGATCTCAGCCAACCAAATGCTTTCCCCTAGGAAAGCATTGGGAGGCTATTGCACATGCGCTGTAAAACACAGAGCTGCACCAATCAGAATCTCCGCTTCAGGATTAATTGAATCAATGCATCTCTATGGGAAACGTTCAGCGTCTCCATGCAGGGCATGGAGACTCTGAATGCCAGTGCTGCACACTATGACACTGATACAGAAAGCATGTCTAGTGGGCGTCTGAATGAATGCCACTAGAGGTGTTACTAGGCAGTAATGCAAACACTGCTTTTTCTCTGGTTAAGCTGTAGTTATTCTGGTGACTATAGTGTCCCTTTAACCTTTCCATCCCAACAGCCGATGCTGGAAGAAGAAGAGTGGATCTGCACCTCCCCATTCAGTATAGTGACGACCATCTAGTCACACATGAGGTGGGGGAATTTGGGGGCCATTCATTAAGTAAAACCTTGTGGGTTTTTTTTATTCTCAAACCATTACTCATTTGGAATGCCAACTTCATTACCATCTTTTTATAATTTTTAAGAAAAAGACATAAAATGTCAGACTTTGGTGTGTAGTCCAACACTTTATTCATAATTTTCCACCAAATCCTCAGTCTTCTTGTGATTAACATGGGTGCAGTGTAGAAAAAAGATCGACCAACATAACCAGAATATTGGATGTGTCACGACTACTAATGTGATCCAACATGCAAAACTATGTAACATCTACATAGAACAGAAAACAGACAGAATGTAAACCGGTCCTTTGAATGGCCGGATTAATACATTGAAAGATAGAGAATAGTCAAGGGAAAGCCGAGATCTAGGGAGCCATAAATACACAAGATCGATGTGAGAGCCAAGTCAGGGAAACCAGAGATTAGAGTAGTCAGGAATAGCCAAAGTCAAATACCAGGAATATCAAGTACAAGAAAAAGCACTCTCGGATACCAGGAACGGAAACCACGACAGGGCAATGAGCTAGGGAATTCAGGAGTTTAAATACCCCTCCTTGGGCTGTGATTGGTCAGAGCTTGGCCTCTGACCCCAGAATGTGTGTGTGCGTTGGCATTGTGATGTAATATGCACATTTGCGTGACCTTTGGTGGCAGAGCTACTAATGGCCGCGACCTCATGGTCGGCGCCATTTTGGATCCCACGTGTGGATGGGACGGATGCCCCAGCGGGTCGGCTGAACAGGTAATTCCTCCAACCTGGGGGGTTGGGGGTTTCTCATTCATTGGTCACCGACCCCCTGTTAGAGCAGTGAAAATGTGCTTTTTACTCACCTTTTCTCCCACGCAATGCTGGGCTCGTCGTGGCTGGCCTTGTCTTGCTCTGCCCCATGGCTAAGATAATCAAACTTGATGATCTCCACCAACGTGGTGAGACCACGTGTAAACGCGAGCCAGGGGCCGTGACAGGATGTAAACACTCTAAACCTTTGCAATAACACACACTGTTAAATCCCTATAGTGGACTGTTACTGGGTCAGGAGTTTGATTGAATCTCATTGAAACCTACATTTTGTTTTTATGAGAATACATATATATCTTGATAAAGACACGCTGGCGGTCAAAAATCAGTGCAGTGTGTGTGTGTGTGTGTGTGTATATATATATATATATATATATATATAAATAATTTTTTTTTTTATTGTTTATTATTATTTATTTTTTATGAACGTCAAATCCATTACAATATAAGAACAAATATTAAAACCACTTAGAGCTACATATTTTTTTTTTGTTGTTGTTTACAGATCAGTCTAATATTGGTATAGTTTATACTTAGTTTTATATTGTATTCATTTAAAAGAGTAACTGATTTCAAGAACATTAAAACAAACACATGTTTTGGATTGATGTGTACAATGTGGGTTGAATTCACATGAGGCCAGGTCACAAAATTAATTAGTGAATCCCTTCTGAATTGTGATGGAGTTAAGGTTCCCAAGGGACAATCTGCAGACCAGAGATAATGGATCACTCATCATTAAAAACCTATAAATCAATTTGTAGCAGCGGAATCAGTAGCTCATTACTAGGAGAAATCTTTATTAACGTGTCACCACCCGATTTAAATGGTAGAGACCTTAATGATCACATAACAGCCTGTTTTCTGATTTATCTAAAAATTAATTCTTACGTTTTCAGGACTGATTTACACACATTTTTAAAGTTCTTTTCATGGTGTTTGGTTCGGATGCTTTTTCGCAATTTCCCTCCTCTATTATATTAACCTTGCCACTGACCCCATGCTCGGGTAATTTTAGCCATCGTACCAATGATTTTATGCGCCGTTTCCTCGTATAGTTTGGTACGGTTTAATTTATCAATAACTATTGTAATATCGGGTCTATTCGGGGATTTCCAAAGGCTCGCTATGCATGTCTTTGTTGCCGGTGAAACGTGCACAGCTATCGTGGCAGCGTGCTTCGGGAAGGTATTGGGAATCATATGTAACAGATAAATCTCTGGGAGAAGAGGAAGAGACAGTCGTAGCACATACGATAAGCGCCTGTACCTGCTGCCAAAAGTTTAAGACTGGGCATTGCCAAAATATATGAATTAAAGTGCCTATGTTTCTGCCACATCGCCAGCCAGTGGGGTGAGCTCTGGGGTAAATATGGGCTAGGCGTTGAGGTGTAAGATACCACCTCATCCAAAGCTTATAGGCCTCCTCGATATGGTCTAAACAATTGATGACCCTTTTCACCCCTAACACTGCCGCTTACCATCTGCTTAGTTCTAACTTACAGTCAAATTTAAGAGGTCGGCTAAATGTCAATAACTTTTTATTCTTCATAGCAATGCAGGTACTCGTCAAGGAAACCCTTGGGGGTTTGTGTTTCCATATATGCGCATTTAGTGTCTGCTGGAAATTCCTTATGAGCACCATCCCATGTGTTCCCTATTAAGGGTTAACAAGTATATGGGGGTGTATATATAAAAAAAATATTTCTGTCTCATTTGCCAGAAGCTCAAGGAAGCAAGGTAAGGGTCAGTGTTGGACCCGTCTAGGGGGGTCTGCCTTGACGTTGGCAGGCAGGCATTCCCTCCAGTGGCCATTGGATTAACTAAATGACCTCCATTTGTTTAAATATACATAGGGATTAAGGAGAGAGCGCAGATAACTTTTTTTTGTTTGTTTTTTTTCTTTGGTTTTTACTATATGCGCATTTAGCGTCTGCTGGAAATTCCTTAGGAGCACTTTGGGAATTTCATTTGGGAGAGCTCAAAATAGGAACAACACCTGCGGCAGGACAAGTATTTTCAGTGCATTAATACGACCTAGCTACGGGGTACTGGTCCCACACCAACCCTCCAGTGTTTGAGTTATCTTAGTTTGCAGTGGTTTTGCTTCAAGATAATATGTTTTAAAGTTGACAGATGTGTGCCTAAGTAAGCTATTATGTCTTTCCTCCATTCAAAGTCATATAGGGCCTTCAATTTATTCAGTTGGTGATGGAAAAGATGCACCTGAGTCTTAGCCGTGTTATTTTTGTAAAAGGACACTTTGCCGTACGCTTCAAGGAGCGATATTATGTGGAGAGAATTGTGGACGAATGAGAAATAGAAGGATGTCATCCGCAAATAAGTAAATTTTTTTGGTTGTGTAGGGACTCCCTCTATATCCCGATCATGTTTGATCTGATAAACCAAGGGTTCTAGTGCCAAAATGAAGATCAAAGGGCTTGTTCCATTAGTGAGGTGAAAACTGCGGGATATAAAGCCTGCATTCAACAGGCCTGACTCCAGAATGTGGTTTAAAAGGGCAGTCAAGTGGTGGATTAAAAGATCTTCAAATTTGGTGGGGAAACCATCTGGTCCTGGCGCTTTATGTTTCAGAGTAGCTTTCAGAACCTGGGAGATCTTGTCAATTGTAAAGGGCCTGTATTTGTTTCTATGAGCAGGGGTGACCAGATCTACCAAAGTTATGTTCACAAATAATTTCATTGAAATGGCTAAAATTGTATTTCCAGTAATATGTTTCTATGCAAATCACAAAATGCATTTTAGATCACAAGGCGATGACATTCTCGGCAATGTCATCTTTAGAATTCCACATCAGAATTATGTCTTTCATATACAAGAAAAAACTGTTTTCTCAACATAAAGGTTACTCCAAGCACCATGAACACTTCAGTGATTTAAAGTGGTCCTGGTGCCTAGATTTTTATATGTGAGGATATTCTCTATGAAATGCTGCACATTCTGCGTTAAACTTCTCTGCTGCAGAAGGTGTATCTCTACCTATGACAGCATCATAGGGGTATCAGAATTATGAACTTTATTTGCACTAGATTGTGCTAACTGTATTTGTAGTTTTATTTGCACATGATATCTGGTTGGTTTATATTGGATTGATGTTTTACTCAGGATTAAGGCTATGGACGATATAGTTGTTTTGTATAATATTGGTGGCACTACTGTGTAATGTTTGTATGTATTATTAGGTTGTTAAAGTTTTTATTTTTACAAAGTCTTGGTCTATTAGAGGAACACTATAGTCACCGATATAAATTTAGTTTTAGTAAATAGATCATACCCCCAGGGGCGTACCTAGAGCATTTGGCACCCGGGCGGATCCTGTGCTTGGCACCCCCTACCCCCCCAAAAAAACTGTAAAAAAAATTAAAGGTTCTCTCTTTTTTTTTTTTTTTACAATTTGTTACAGGCAGACAGTCACATACAGTCACAGGCAGACAGTCACACATACACATTTCCTCCGTGCGGCCAGTTTATCAGCTGTTTGCTTGTGTGAGCTGTACTGCCACAGCCCCCTCCAGCCAGGGCCGGTGCAAGGATTTTTGCCGCCCTAGGCAAAAGTAAAGTTTGCCCCCTCCCCCCCATGTGACATCACAATGCCCCACCCATATGATTTGCCATGTTAACTAACGCCAGTGCTGCAGTGCCGCCGTGTTTACATTAAAAGGCCTGCAGGGACAGGCTATAGACACCAGAACCACTACATTAAGCTGAAGTGGTTCTGGGGACTATAGTGTTTCTTTAATGTGAGGTAAATTAGAGCTTAGTGCCACGAATAATATACTAGATTGCCTACTTACAACCAGATGAGGATGATGATGGGCTCTAGCTGCAGTCTGGCATCACTGGTCTGGTGCAGAACAGTCTCTCTGCAGGCGGTTTGTAACTGTGGTCACAAAAATCAATGTTCTGGGAGAACGGGAAGCAGCTCCATTTTTTGGGGGTCCTTTACACAGCTCAAGGTCTGGGTCCCAGGGTCCACCTTCATGTTCCACCAATGAGTTTGTTCACAGGGGGTGGAGTGTGTAGGGGATGTCCTGATATGTGTGTAAGGAATGCATTGTGTGAAATTGTGTTTGTATGTGTAAGGGCTGCAAGGTGTGTTTCTGTGTATGTATGGGATGCATTGAATGTGTGTAAGGGGTGCATTGAGTGTGTGTAATGAATGCATTGTGTGTTTCTGTGTGTGTAAGGGATGCATTGTGTGTAACGGTTGCATTGCTTGTGTATGTGTGTCTGTGTGTGTAATGCATTGTGTGTTTTTCTGTGTGCAAGGGGTGCATTGTGTGTATGTGATGAATGTCAATCTCTCCTCCCGCTCCAATTTCTCTTTCTCTCCCCCCTCCTAATATCTCTTCCCCCCTCCTAATTTCAATTTCTCTTTCCCCTCCTCCTAATATCTCTTCCCCCCTCCTAATTTCAATTTCTCTCCCCCCTAATTTCTCTTTCCCCCTCCTAATATCTCTCCCTCCCTCCTAATTTCTCTTCCCCCCTCCTAATATCTCTTCCCCCCTCCTAATTTCAACTTCTCTCCCCCCTAATTTC